GTGAAATAGAAAGAGACATGCCTGACTAAATAAAAGATAAAAACAGAATTCAGACTTTTTCTTATATATTGTTGTTGACTTACGCAAGGTGAATACCCAAGGGATGTCCCATGTATTCGAAAAACATTGTTTGTCTTTCTTTCATTTATACCTTTTACGGATCGATTGAATAAAGTATACCATCATCAATATCATATTTTTTCCCTAGGTTAGTCGAGTAATGAGGGATACCCTGGAAATTTCTGAAAGACAGTAAAATCAATTTTTGGCCTAAAAGATCATTAATATCACGTATATGGTTCATTTTTATAAGGCTTATTCGATGCAGAATTTTTTTCTCTATCAAAATATATAGGAAGATTATGGAAATAAAACCTTTTAAACAATAATAGTTTCATCAGAAAGAGTTCATCGAGTTACTTTTTGTGTGTAAAAATCTCATTGATTCATCAATGTAAACTGTATATTTGTAGGAGTCAAAAAAACACTGCATATGCTCATAGGACCCAATTGAGAGTAGTATTCGTCGAGAAAATTGTTTAAAAGGTTTTACTCCCATAATCTTCCTATATATTCTGATAGAGAAAAAAGTTCTGCATCGAATGAGCCTTATCAAAATGAACCATATACGTGATATTAATGATCTTTCAGAGCAAAAACCGATTTTTTGGCTCTTTAAAAATGTTCGAGACGTCCCTTATTACTCGATGGATATAGAAAAATAATATGATATTCGCGATCAGCATTCTTTTTTCTATCGATTTGTGAAAATCATAAATAGAAAAATGACAAAAACTTTCTTTTGAATACTGGAGCGATATGCCAGACACAAAAAAAAATCGATTTTTTTATCAAAGACAAAATGAAGTTGTGAAAAATGATCTCTGTTGATCATATTATCACAATTGATATCAATTTTTGTTTTATATAGGATCAAACACAAATTTCGAGAGATATGTTGTTCTTAAGGTCACTTTTTTTCAAACTATCCGAAATGATTTTTCTTCAATCTGGTATTCTATTAAAACATAGTTAATTTCTTATGAACTTTTGGATTTAGATAGAGTTCGACACGCTATACAAAATTGCCACGAAGATCTTAGCTTGTTTTCCGAACAGAAAACGTGAAAAAAACTTTTTTGTCTCAGAAAGTCTCGTTTTGCTTGGATTTTGTTGAAGTCTTGTTGTTAGGGTCAAAAAATTAGCTGAGTATTGTTATTAGGGTAACTGATCTTAATAACAACAGCAGAAGGTCATTATCGTAGACCGTTGATTTCTCCGCCACTACATTTCAGAGAGGGTTGTTATTACACAATATGAAAGAGGAGACTCTTAAAATTATGCATACATAAAAGTACTTTCAATCGAGGGTAAAGTAACCGTGAACTGAATCAATCAAGGTAAGACATTTTCTTAGTGCTGTTATTAGGAACTTTAACTATAAATACGCCTCAAATTTACAGGGATCAGCTCAGCTCGTCTGAGCAGCAGCTATGTTCTAGTTGTTTGACTCGACTCTCGTGAGCCGTGGAGCTGGAGCTACCACACAGGTAATCTGAATACATCGACTGAATATAATAGATGAGAAAATGTATTATATACTATAATGTTTTTTTTTTATGAATATAAGGTAAAGTAGGTTGATTACTGCTGATGCCATGCCTTTCAAGTTAAAGAAGAAACGTTCACGCTCATGAGCGCTCATGAGCGTGAGCTGTACAGCCCTACTTTGACGCATTTTTTCCGAAGCCCTCATTCAATATATGCAAATTTTTATTTACTTTTAATTTAAAATAAATATAAATTATTTTCATATATTAAATTTAAAAATAAATTAATATTTAAATTAATAAAAAAACTCAGACTCCTAATCCCAACATAGCGATTCAAACTAATTAGGGTAGGACATTTTATATAGATTTTTAAAATTGTTTTATCATAAGAACCGTCTTTTCTTAAGACAAAATAGAACAGAACTTTGCTTTTAATCAAAAAAGTATTGTTTAAAAAAAAGTGTTACTTTATCCGTAATGCCATCTATCAAAATCATATTAGCAAATTATGAAAGAATGGTGTTAAAAAACAAGGTTCAAGTTGAGATTATCGCCGTTTGACTGATCGTGACTATCAAAGGTATGTAGAGGTCAAGGTTTATGAGAACGATTTCGTGGAATAAAAACCATGAAAAGTGCCGGTTTTAAATGCTGCGACTCACTTATATTAAACCGAACTTTTTTGAAACCGCGGTTTTCAGCGGTAAGAATACAGCGATCTTATTTGAGCACACCGCGGATATTACTTACCGCGGTGAGACAAACCGCGATTATCTGCGGTCTTTTTTTTACATACCGTGGCTCATAAAGAAGAAACTGCGATCATTACAAAAAAATCGCGATTAATAGCGGTTTTCATTCAAATTTTTTTTCGTGGGCACCATGCTTTTTGTTAATAAAAAGAAGGAAATTAATCCTGATACCATTGTTGTGTTATTTGAGCATTATGACATTTTGTAGTATTTCGATGAAACATCCCATCTAATCTCAAGATCTGATTACACTATTTTAGTGCTACTTGAAGAAAATTGTGCATTATTGTGCATGATCAAATGCGTTGATCAAAATGAACACTAATATCAGATTGAACATTTCATACCATTCAAATAACACAATAATGATGTTAGGAAGACTTTTCTTCTTTTCATTAACAAGAAGCATTGTCCACCAAATAATCCATATATAAACTCATCAAATCGTACATTTTCAGATGATTTTGCATTATCTATTAAATAGAAAAGAGAAATATCGAAAGATACTTTCATTGAATGAGCGAAAGATGAAATTATAGAAGTTTGATGGAAAAGTTATTTTAGAAAAACAATTTGCTTCATCTGTTCATTTGAAGTTTATTTTAGCAAAAAAAAATGATTTTTATTAGCCGTAACAAAAGATAAACCATTTTATAGACAATCAAAGACGAAAATTTTGAAAAATAATGAAGTTTGACCAGACGAATATTTTAAATATCTTTAAACTACAGAATAACTCAATATTCCTGAAACACATGTTAGTTCTTATTTTTAAATAAACAACAAAAGAAATCCTTAGTAAGAAATAATATTATGCACGTTTGAATGATTCTTTAAACTGTAGATACATAACTATCAATAATAAAAGAACAATAAAATTACATTTGTTTAAGTATAAAATAGAGCATAAATTTCTTTGTTCTTATGATTTCATTTGAGCTAATTCGAATATATTTAATTTTCACGAATTACTTTTATTCAAAAAGAATTTTTTAGAAAACAAACATTTATAATAAAGGAAAATACTTTTGAAAATTTTTTGACTGAACAAACTCGTCATCTATATGTAGTTTTTTTAATTTAGCACAAGTAAGACGTGTTGCATCGTTTGTAAAATTCTTTGTTACCATTTCAAGTGATTCAAACTTGATGCGAAGATTCAATAAACAGGGTAAATGAATGTTTTTATCGACGAGAAATTCTTCAGCATAATCAACATGTGCTTCAGCTAGATTCAGAAGGATAAGATGACGAAATGTAATCAATGACGATGAATGTTGCTTCTGTTGTGGTAGAACATTCTTAATAATTAATTCTTTGAGAAAAGGAAAATCTTGCGAAATGACTTTCAATAATTGGTGTTCAAAATGATGTGTATCATCCTTCATCGTCAAGCATCGAACATTATGAAACATCCCACCTTGAAAAGAATTGTTTAAATGAAGAAAATTTTCAAATTGATATGGAAGTGTATAGATATGATATTCAATTATGGAACACAATCGTTTATAATAGACATATGAACCAACTTGAATCAGTCCAAATTCTTTACCAATGAAACTATGTTGAATGTCTTCTTTTGTTGTAATATCAGTTATATCATTTTCGATGAGAAGTTTTGTATTTATACTGAAAGTAAATTTATTTAATCGTGGCATATGAATAAGAATTTCATCATGTAATTGAATACCATCAATAACATTCGAGTTAAATCTTACTACAGACAAAAATAATATCAATTCTTCAAGATTTATCATTCGATGGAGTAATGGAATAATTCTCTCATCATAATTAAATGTTTTATAAATCGAGAACAATGAAAAATATTTCAATTTAGGAAGTTTTTTCTACAAAAAAAAATAAAAAATGTCTTTGTTTTATTCAAATTATTGTTATTTTCGCAAATTACAATCATCGAAATTTTTCTTACTGAGGCGAGCGTAAAATTTCCTTTAGGTCCAATATGTTCCACATTAATAATTAATTTCGATAAGCATTTGAGATTGGAATCAAGAAGATAAAGACAATCATCAAAATCTTTGACATTAACTTTTAATTTAGTTAAACTTTCAGACATACACCTTGTTTATGGTATTTCATGAATACAAATTGACGCATTTCGTTTAGAAAATAAATGACAAAAATTCAAATTTATTAACCGTTTACATAAAGATAAAATCAATATAAATATCCTTGAAATTTCACACGCTCGTGAATTAAAACTATATATACCACCGAGATCCTCATTCTTCATATCAATATGCTTCTTCTGAATATCGATATTTAGATATGTAATTTGTTGACTAAGAAGATGACGAAGAATTGAATCATCTTTAATGTAAAAAGAATATAAATGAAAATTAATTTTGTATCGCATTATTTTATAAAATGAAACGAGCAAAACTAATTATTAATACTATACCTGTTAAATATTGAAGGAGTATGTCTTTTTGAAAATTAACAAATGATATAGAGTAAAGTTTAGGATAACTGGCATTCAGAAGAATACGTTCAATTGAATGTTGTTCAATAGTAAGTTTATTTACTTGTGAATGAATTTGAGGTAAGATATTTTCACATATTCTTGAAAGAACCTGGTCATCTACGGAAAATGTATATTCAAAAAATGATTTCATAGTCACAACGGTCATATCAAGATGACGAATATAAAGAGGATCAAGTGATAATTGAGCAAATCGTTCATTGATATTCACAAGTGAATAAAAAACATCGATGAAACTTAATTTGCTAATAATGTTGAGTAATATTTCATTAGGTAAATCGAGTATATTTAAAGGATTGTTATTCGAAGTATTCATATGTGATTAATAATGTTGATTCATATTGATTTTATATGCTCGCATTTTCTTATTGTCATTGTCTGAGAGAACAATGAACGGTCAAATGTTGATATTATTATATTAGGCTCCACACAGGCTAGACAACAAAGAATTAATTTAATTTGAATTGATTCTTTGTTGTCTAAATTATGATGAATAGATGATAGAATTTTTTTTTCTTTCTATCTAACATTTTTCATTATGTGTTATTGAATATTCCTACCAGGCTGGCCAGATCTTCTGATTTTTCAGAAATTTTCTGATTTTGAACGCTTTTTCTGACGGCTTTCTGATTTCTGATTTTTTCTGATTTTCCTGACTTTCATTTATGCTGTTTCAAACGTGCTAATTCGTTCTCATATGAATGTCCGAATTATTACTATTGATAGGACATAACCACATAACATCTATCTACATAAAACGATAATACAGTTCAACAAATGGTCTGATTTCAGCGAATAAAAGATCAAAGAATGTAAATAGTCAAATGAATCCTCTTCACTCTGATTTCTCGCTTGATTTGTCATTCTGAGCTGAAACATACATTGATGAACTATCCTTGTCTTTATTTACTTCGGATTAACGAGATCGTACTACATGATAATTGTAACCAGGGTGGCCAGATCTTCTGAAAAATAGGGAAAGTTTCTGAAATTTGAATACATTTCTGATTTTTTTCTGATCTTCTGATTTTTTCCGAATTCTAAACCTTTTTAGATTATATCTTTGCTAGTGAAATTAGGTACGATTTAACCCATTACTATAATAGATCGATACTGCGCAACCTTTTTTCTCTATTGATCATTGATAGTTTCTGCCGAGGGAAGGTTCCCAAGTAATTCATTGCTTTTAAGTTGGGACTGTGTGCATCATGTATGTTATAACGAGGTACGAATACTTCGAAAAAAGTTCGGGCTGATAGCTTGTTGCTGTCAAGATACTGCATTTTTACGGTATTTTTTTAGCCCAATGCTGTGATCTTCTCAGAAGCACAAGAAAAACTAAATTTCGACTTGCAACTTTGCACAGAGACAGAAGTTAATGAGTGTGGTTTGTTGTGAAAGTTTCATTTGTTTTCGTTGTTTCTATCCTAAGATACAGCTATGGTAATAACATGTTTTTGACATCGTTCACACACCGGCAGATCCGAATGTTCTTATTTCAGAATAGGAGCATTCGAAAAGTTGAAACTTTTACAATAAACGATTGTCATTCAGAACTGTCTCTAAGAAAAGTTTCAAGTCGAAATTCGATATTCAATTCAGTGTTTCTTGTGTTCCTGAGGGGACCACGGCATTGGGCTAAAAAAAAATACCATAAAAATGCAATATCTTGAAAGCAACAAGCTACCAGTCCGAGCTCTTTTCACAGTATTCATAGCTCGCTATGGTATACATCATTCATAGAGTTCCGACTTAAAAGCGATGAATCACTTGTGAACCTTCCTTCGTAAGTGTATTTTTTTAGTTTTTTGTATTAGCTAAACGCTATATTCATTATATTGTCGTTCTTAACAGTGAAATACCCTTGAAAAAAAAGTATAAGTCAATGAAGAGAAACCCAGTAGAGCATTGGATGTCAGCACCTTAGCATAATACGCACTAGTTTTCAAAAAACTGCCATTTCTGATTAATTTCTGATTTTGCACAAAGAATTTCTGATCGTTTTCTGAGTTTGAAAAAAAAATTTCTGATTTTTAAATTTTTGATCTAGTCACCCTGATTCCTACCATCTTTTAACCAAAGGAGTTAATTTATTTTTAGCAATGAGGAAAGAATGTACATAGCTCATATTCACGATAGAAATGTTGACAAAAGCTATGTTGAAGCATGACAATGCCATTCAACAATAAAATGCAATTTATAATGAATTATGCATAAAAAAAACATTACTTATATCGCTGCTACGTTTACAAGTTCACTTATAAATTCTGGAATCTATTATTGATTAATATCCTATCGTTGGTTTTATTTGGCTAAAGATTTGTGTTTATGCGTCTACCCAACACATCTGAATCATCTTAATGTTTCATTACATCTTTTTGATATCTACGCATGTAAAACAAATATCCTCAATAATCACGAAACAGTCTACTTTTATAATTGCTTATTATATGATTATTGAGTGACATTTTTTTTTTACATGGGTAATTCTATTATTTTTCAATATGTTGTAAATAAAAATATCTCGACATCGACAGCTAAAAGGTCAGCCTTTGAAATAGATACTCATAAAAGAAGATTTAAGAATTATGATGTTTATATTTTTATCAAAAAACAATGGGAAAAAAATTAATGTATCAAAGAACATCCACGAACGCAATCTGAGATAGTTGATACTTTTCTCAATGTAATGGGATAATTTCATCAAGTTTAGGAACGGACGAGAACGCATTCTATTTTTTCAAAATCGATTTTTGAATGCGTGAGAAAGCGTTACGCAATTTGGAGAACGAGAAAGAATGCGTTCCATAATTTGGGGAACGAGAGTGAATACGTTTCGTTCTCTGTAAGAATACTTTTAGATTGTCTGGAACGTGGCCATCAATTCAGAGACACCATTCTTAGAGATCTCTCTTTGTAGAGCTTCACAGAACGCAATCTCATTTTGACGGAATTCTATTCACACCATTCCAAAAAAGAACAACAGGGAAACCATTTCAATAACTAATGGAACAGTTCAGAAAGGTTTCTCTCCATATAAAGAACGATTTTGAATCGAGAAGGCATTCCACAATAGCGTGGAACGGCAAAGAACGCGTTCCTTCCAGATGTAGAACATATTCTTGTCAGTTATGAATGCATTCCTCCAAATCATAGAACGCATTCTTCTTGATTAAGATAACTTTCCACATTTTGATGAATGCACTCACAGCCGTTTTTTTTTTATGAATATTTTTCACTGGCATGTTTTTATTTTTACTTCCATAATAATTGACTTCTATAATAATTGATAGAATGTATTATAGAATGTAAGAAAATATTACATTATTTATCGAAATCAAAATACTTTTAGTAACGGAAGCATATCTTTCTCATTCTAAATGTAATTTTGTTGAAAGAAAAATGTATGGATATAAAATGGATTTTCCTAGAAAAATACCAAAGCTTTTCATGTAACAAAGGATATTCTATTTTAGAAAGTCTGTTGGTTTCTGTTGTAAGTAAAAAAGTAAGCATCTTTTAAAACATTAGACAAAAAAACAGAAACAATATATTGTTCATCTGAATGTTTCTTAAGATTATACTCTGTTTAAATACAAAAAGAATGTTTTTTTCTCTGTCATTAGTTAAGAAACATAAGATTTTGATCTAATTAGATCATCAGTTACAACTTTTCTAATTCAAAAAAGTTTCAATAATAAATAAATATGCTTATTATATGTAAGAAAAGGATCATGTTTTCATGCTAAATATATTGTTATTGATTTCATCATGTTTGGAAAGATTTTGTTGTAATTTGTATGAAAATTGTTTTAAATTTTCTCAAAAATGATTTGGATTTTTTCCCATGATCACTAATTAAAAAAAAACATGAAACTTCGTAATAGTATATTATGATTCTTTTGCAAAACATTTTTTTTTGTAATCAAACTATTTCAACAATAGTTTAACAAAATCCCCATGAATATATCTAAAAATATTGAAAAGATCAGCCTTTTCTTCATTTATATACAATAGAAATATTGATTGTAAAAGGATCTGTTAAATATTGATTACTTAAATTCTTCTGTCTATTTCAAGGTAATTGATCTATCTTCTTTGTTTTATAAAATAGTTATATGAGTCATTTCATGTAAGTCACGACCTAAATACAGACAACCTACTCAATTGAGATTCTCAGAATTTGCTCAATTTAAGACATGTTATAGAAGGAAGCATTTGATCAATTTTAGCGCAAGTCGATTTAAAAAATAATGTATCTTCAAGGTTTGGTAAACGTTTTACAAAAAACCCAAAAAATGAAAATATCGAAAAATGAGGGTCGAAATGTGGCTATATTTCAAGAATGGTTATGCCAATTGAGCTGAAATTTTGCGCAGACATATATCCTAGTATGTCCTACTTACCATAAAATTTTTGTCGAAAACTGTTAAATCATTGAGTTTTTATGATCCATTCGAGATTTGTAAAAATTCAGGCTTTTTAGCAACTTTGATCCTTTATAACTTTTGATTGAAATGAGAGATAAGCCTAAAACTTTCATTATCGATAGAGTACTAAAAGATGTACTTTCTTTAACAGTTTCAATCTTCTAGACCCTTTGGTTCTTCCAGAAAAGTCTTCTGAAAAACCAATTTTTGAAAAAAAAAGGGTTTTTCAAAATCGATTTTCTTCCAAGAAACCAGTCTGTTTGGGAGTTGATTTTGAGAAGTTGGAAGTAATATGTCTGGACTACGATTACTATAAAAAAAATCAGTGTGGGAACTCTAGGAACGGCTTATAGCGGAAGTCATCTTTGGATGGTCTCTATGAGGTAGATTTTCTTTGTATATGGCTTCGACGTTCGATTTTCAGTTTTTGTTTCATTTATATCTAGATCATTTTTGATGGAAAACATGATGTTCATAATCCTTTCTCTCTATTTGAAAGTTTTTTTTTTTGTTGATATAAAATTAAAAATATTGAACTTTAATTGAACATTTAATATAATACATACATTTTATTTGAAAACTTTTCTTATTGAAATAAAAATACTGCTCTTTAATTAAACATTTGATATGAAATAATGTATTCCATTTGAATTTCTTTCTGTTCAAATAAAGCAAAACTGAACTTTAATTCAATATCTTAATATCTGATATGAAATAATACGTTTTACTTGATATAATGTAGCAGCATCGCTAGTACATACACTTGGATCATAACGAGTTGTTGAATAACATTAACGAAAAATTGCTTGAGATTTCATCTTGATTTCAACGCATGGGATTGTAGTTCAACCGACAAAATACCCAAAAAAGTGTAGTGGTGAGGAATAGTAAATATTCAAAAGCGATATCTGATTTATATATCCCCCTGGTCAAAATAAGTGACACACCTAGTTTTCGACATTTAATTATCTAAAGGATAGAATTTATATTCCATATTTATGTCACAAATACATCTTTGATTGCTTAACATACTCTGAAAATTTCAGACGTATAGAATGAGAATTAGTTGAGAAAAGTGCAAATATGTCTCATGTGCTCATGCAGCATTGTAAAGGAAGTTTGCTGTTTTCTTAATAAATTTAGTTTTTTTTTAGTTTCAATTACATCAGTCTTTAACGCATAAATTAGATTTTTCTGATTTTGTTTGCAGTATTACATCATTTTTTTGATAGATTCCTCCGTGAACCGCTTAGCAAAAACTTATAGAAGTGGAATCATTTACCAAAAGTTGATGTAATTAAAACCAGAAAAAAACCAAATTTATTAAGAAAACAGCAAACTGCCTTTACAATGCTGCATGAGTACATGAGACATATTTGCACTTTTCTCAACTAATTCTCATTCTATACGTCTGAAATTTTCAGAGTATGTTAAGCAATTAAAGATGTATTTATGGTATAAATATGAGATATAAATTCTCTCCTTTAGATAATTAAATGTCAAATACTAGGCGTGTCACTTATTTTGGCCAGGAGATATATGAAATAATCGAAAAATAAATATTTAACAAAATATATTTCTGGTACTGGTTCACTTTAGATACAGCGCTCTCACCCTCATGCTGTGATATGCGTGTTAAACACCCTAATTAGTGTATAGACTGTGTTTGAAGTAAACAAGCGCCATATTTCTTTAAATAGTTAATTAATATTTTAGACAAAAAGGTGGTTTTTAAACAGCGACATTTTTCGAAAAACTATATCGATGTCAATTGTTTAGCTATAGAAATGAAAGACATATGTATATATATATATATTGATTGAATCTTTTATTTATCAATTAATGTTTTATCAAAATGGCTGGAAAAGATCGTACATATGCTCTTGTGAACATATTAATTTACCTTCAAGTGCAGCTGCTGATGTTGATAGTTATTTTGACTATCGAGTGTATGAAATAAAGATTTTTATTATAAAATTCAATTGAATTCTTTCGATAGAATTGTTGATGATGATGATGATGGAGGAAAAATATTTACGCCTGAAGAATAATGAAGAATATAATAAAAAGAGTTTTACCAATGATATGAATTCATTATATATAATTCTATTTGATTATTTATTCTTAAAAAACTTAATTAGATAATTAGAATTTGATAAATTTAGATTTACCACAGAATCTAGTTTATTATCCATAGATTTTCAAGGGTATGTTCAAATATTGATATTTGATCATTTTATGCATGCAATGTCTTGTCTTTTTTTGTATTAACCTGTTGAATTCGAACGAAAGAATTTTTTTTTTCGTTCTGTCGTGTCAATAACATGTTTGGCGAGGAGAAAATAAATCGAGGATAGGTCATATGTGCAATGGCGCTTATCATTATTTTTTCAATTCTAACATACGAGAAACTATCAAAGAAACTTTCACCGATTATGCTTGAATAACGAAATTCCTTTTTTAGTTACTTATTGATTAGTAAAATCTCTTATTTCAGATCTAATTTGAATTTTGTAATTCACTATGAAAACTCTCGAAACAATATGTGACATATAAATACAGCTATCGAAATAATCTGTGACATATATATACAGCTGATTGAACGCGACAGAACGCAAGAAATTATCGGGATCCAAGAGGTTAAAAATGTTCGGCATTGGTTAAGCTGGTGTTCCACCGTATATACGCTATACATTCAAGCTGGTGTTCCTTTTCATGTGTATAGTGTTCCACCGCTAATTAGCGGTGGAACACTATACACATGAAAAGGAACACCAGCTTGAATGTATAGCGGGTTTACAGGATTTACTGTCCGCGGATTTACTGTCCATTGATTGTTTTTCTTAGAAAATTGTTTTTTTTCTACAGAAAGTATAATTTTTGCTGCCGAGGATTTACTTTCCATTGATTGAATAACTTTTTTTTTTCAATTAGTGTTTTTCTCGTTTGAGGATTTACTGTCCGTTGATTGCCTCGAAGAATAGAAATGAACAGAAAAATATTTATCGCAATCAACTATGTATATTTAGAAAAAAAAAGAATTCAAACAAATATATGAGGAAATAACAAAGAGAATAAGGAATTGATTAATAAATAAACCAAAAAAGATCAATAGGACTAGATTCTTCGATAGCTTTTCGTTTTAAATTTTGTCGCATTTCTAATACTTCTTTATCAGTTTCGTTAGGTAGATGTGTATGATCTTCACGAACAATTACTGATAAATCTAAGTAACTTGTAGCTGTTGTTTGACATTTAACACATATCCAATATTCCGAACCATTTTGATTCTTACGTTTCAAAGAATATCGATAACCGAGGTAGCATAATTGTCGTTTACCATGGGTAGATTCAGTAAATATAGCAGACATTTTTAGGAAGAGTATGATAAGAAAATTATATTCTTTGAATTTATATATATTTTTTATAAATGTTTGTCATATTAATGACTATTTTACCCCCCCCCAATTTGATGAGCATCCCTCATTTTAAATCGAAAATTTATTCAATAGTTCGCTCATTGGTGACTTTTTTGTTTTTCAACATTTATGTAATTTTTTGTTCAGAAAAGGGATTGATTGTCAAGACCATTACTCATTTATTAATTTCTCTTTTTCGAAGCAATTAATGGACAGTAAATCCTCAATCAAAAAATACACTAATTGAAATATTCTATTTTTTCAATCAATGGACAGTAAATCCTCATACAAAAATAGCGTTAATTGGAATAAAATTTTTCCAATCAATGGACAGTAAATCCGTGGACAGTAAATCCGCGGACAGTAAATCGTGTACACGGTATAGCGTATATACGGTGGAACACCAGCTTAACCAATGCCAAATGTTCTCCCTATAAAAAATATTGTTGAAATGAAAGAGAAAGGATGATGCTATGCATTTATTCATAATCGATTTCGACGGGAGAAAAGAGCGTCATTGTTTTTTTTCTGACGACAACGGTCAAATAGAAACAATGACAATACCTCTATATATAATAATTGACATACATGAGTTCAGATGAACTAGAGGTGAAGATAAATATGGAGTGTTCGCCTGTTCATTTGTTTGGTTTACCCGATGAGATATTGATGATTATTTTTAAGAAATTGGAAACATTCGAAATACTTCATTCGTTAATGAATATTAACATGCGACTAGATCAAATTCTTCTTGATTCGAACATTATTAATACTCAAATTACATTAATGAAACAAGCCTCACCACTGAAACTTACATCTCCACTATCTGATATAGTACTTAATCGATTTTGTGAACAAATATTACCAAAAATTCATGACAAAATCAAATGGCTCAAGCTTGAAACATCATCTATGGAACGTATTCTTCTTGCAGCTAACAGCTATTTTAATTTACGTCAATTGGATCTATTTATTATGAATATAGAAACTGACATGCACTTATTTAATAGTATGATTTTTTTATTTTGATAATTTCAGTCATTTAGTCACAGATAAATATTTAAGCTTAGCTTGATGTATTAATCTCTTGTATAACTAGGGTTTTTTGAGGATCCTTTTGATGATCTATATGTCTCTTTGAACATGAATGAGATTTAATATCAGCAAGAAAATTCTATGTAGAATAGAAAAAATTTAAACTAGATCTGAATTTTTGAGAAACACGATCTAAAAGAAGTGTTTGAAGTATCACGTTGAAAATATGTCTCTTTTCTCTGTCTCTACCTCGTATATTTGGAGATAGACTCCTTTACGATCTACCGTGGCAGAAGCCTTAATTTTGACCTTTAGTGTCACTAACTCTACCGTATTTCATGTTTTAATCATTTAGAAATTGCCCTAACAGACTTTTCAATGAAACTTTCTTAGAAAGATATCCATTAACTATATCCTCCTATTATAGCATAATAGAAGAAAAGAACAATTCTCAGGATAAAGTTTATTTGTGATGATGATAAGTTAATGGTTAGAAAATCGTGAGTGAAATCGATGTTGTAACTTGAAATAGAAAAGCAAAAACAAACTTGTGTTTGAAATCTATTTTGGTAATAAAAAGAATCCGATGATAGATATTCTAAGAAGTTTTGATGAAAAGAAAAGCAATATAAAAAATGCATCATTTCTGTGACATCCATTTGGGAAGGAGAATACTAAGAAGTAGATTGTCTAAGTTTTTTCTTTGTATGTATGAATAACACTTAAAAAAAAGTGCATTACATGAACAGAATCCTCCAAATATCATCAAATTTTGACACGACAGGACTCGAAGAGTAGTATTAATCGATCCAAAATAAAAGGTAGGTTGCCGTTTTTGATTGATGGTTGAAAGATTGCTCTTTCGAATGGTGGACACTGCAAGTCTATATCTTGTACTTAGCGAGAGCTATTCAAAAAAAACGGCAACTTACTTTTTACTTTGGATCGGATAATAGTATGAGGAAAATGAAAATCTAAAACTTGTAAGTGTTGTTAGCAAGTGAAACACATGAACGATTCAATCAGTCAACACTCAAAGTATGTTTTATAATCATATTTAGATAAAGCTCTGGTTAATATCTTTCAAAATCAAATTGAGACACTGACTATCAACGGTATAGAATATGAACAATGGTATTCTTCGAAAATGAATGAGCTAGGAAACATTTTTTTGAATGGATTGGTTATTTGTCATAAACTTCGCAATTTCAAATTTTATACATTAGTACCTACTGGAGCTGGATATATGACATTCGGTATTGAATCTCCAATATTTTCTTCAACTCTGGTTGAATTACATATGAATGTGTATCGTTTCGATGATTGTCTATTTCTACTCGATGGTCGTCTAAATCAACTGCGTATATTGTTTGTTACTACCTTTCATACACTTCCTCTTCAAAGAACAATTATCAACAAGGTAAATTGATTTAAAACGAAGCGAACTATTCATTATTATAAAAGATAACTTTTAAAATCTATGTATTAATTGATCTACTAAGTAATCATATAATTTTGTTTTAGGAAAAACTACCTAAACTGAAACATTTTTCATTAACTTCTATTAGTGATACGGAGGTTTATGATGAAGTGATTGTGCCGCATTTACAGCGAATGACTAATCTAGAAAAGTTGGCTTTGTATTTTGCGGCCGTTTGCTACAGAACATTTATTGATGGGAATAAGTTAAAAAACAATATTATAAATTATATGTCTCGTCTGAATCAATTCTTATTCAATATTCGATCAATAGTTAATTTTCCCAATCTAATGTATTACCCATCAAATGAAGATATTCAATGTACATTTACAAGTTTCAAAGACTATCAAGTTATTTCTTGTATTGATTATTTTTCAAAAGAGGGATATGGTCAATGTCATATTTATTCATGTCCATATACATTAACATATTATGATGATATAACTAATAATTTTCCAGGTGGTTTATTTAATAGCGTTGAAAAAATGAGGTTATTTGATGAGCGTCCTTTTGAAAATGAATTTTTCATTCGAATTTCTCAAGCATTTCCATTCCTTAAACGCATAACTATAGTTAATAGAAAACCACAAAATTTCAAACAAGAACAACAATTAAATGATAATACTCAAAAGTCTTCAAATATTGAATATTCTCATCTTAGTATGCTTCATCTTCTGCGTGTTCATGACGATTATGTAGAACAATTTTTATTCGATACGAAAACCTGTTTATCAAATTATATTCAATTGGCAGTTGAGTATGAACAGTTGAAACGTGTGACACAAAACTTCACAAGGGATGCAACACGAAACAATTGTTTGAAAATAAAAAGACTTTGTTTTCATGACTGCCAACAGTTACCTAAACATTATCAGAATTATTTTCCTTATCTTGAATAATTATTATTTTTTTGTAAATAGTGTTGGAAAATAAATCAGAAACGATGGTTAAGATAATATATGAGAATAGATCGATAGATTAAAAAAAAGTAATTATGTATTTGATTGATTGTTTGTTGTCTAGAATTTGAGAGAAAAAAAAATATTATATCTAAAGACTTTTTATTGTAAGTTGCCTTTTGTGTGTGTAAAAAAAGACAAGAGCTATTCTTGAATACAACAAAAAAGAAGCATATGAGAATGAAAAAGGACCCCTATATATAGAGAATCATAAATAAATCTATAAGACCGTATGAAAATTAAGAAGAAATACTAGACGAGAGAATTGTCAATCATGTGAAATGAGAAAATTATTGAATACTGGTGTATTTTCATTAAATGCAAAATTAATTGTGAAGTGATTATTTCTGATTTTACACTTTTTTCAACTAATGTTAAAATTGGAAGTAGAATTAGATGAAATATAGGATCAACTTGTTCGTCTTGCCCTGTTCTGGTGGATGGCAGGACAGCAGCCGCAGGGCTACCCTGTCTTGTACTCAGCTCTGATTCTGACTATAATATGATACATTTTACACCAATTGAATTTCTTTACAATGTATTGAATTCATCCTATGCTATAACAGATCATCATAAATTTAGAATATATGAATAGAAGAAAAATAAGTAGATTGGTATTCTTAATGACTCGTCATAATGTTCTAAGATACAAATCGATGTTATTAATTAGTCATAGATATTTTTTTTTCAAGTAAACACGAAATGGAAAGTCCATTATTAATTGAAGGTATTATTAATAGAAGAATATTTGAAATATTAATTAATCATTCACAAGGTAAAGAATCAGTTAGAAATTTCAAAAAAAACAAATAAATATATAAATGAACTTGCCCAAGCAGACCAAAAAAAGCATACGATGGGTGCGACGAGCGGTCGAACATTATATATATATATGTTTTTTTCGTTCTGTTTCAATTTCGATCCCCTCGACACCTATCGAATTTCGAGCACTCGGACACTGTGCCCTATCGACGACTCATTTTCGACTCGTCGTATATATTTCGACACCTCGGTACTCATCGAAATTTCGAGTACTCCGAGAGAAGTCACCTATCGAAATAATACTATCGACGCCTCTAACACATTTTAATCACTCGACTAAAACAAACATATTGAAAGGACCATTTTGAGTTCTTCAAAAGAGTCAAACCGATCACAATAAATAAGTCTTGACAGAGGAGTCTATAATCTTGATCATGTGAAACTTCTTCAAAATCCAGTTTTAAAATATTCTTTATTTTTATTCAATAATTTTAGTAGAATTATTCAAGGTTACTTCATAAATCACCTTAAGTGTGTGGGTGTGAGTGTGGGTGTGGGTGTGAGTGTGGGTGTGGGTGTGGGTGAAGATGTCTTCTCCGACACCCACACTCACACCCACACCCGCACCCACACCCACACCCACACCCCCACACCCACACCCACACCCACACCCACACACCCACACCCACCCACACCCACACCCACACCCACCCACACCCACACCCACATCCTCAAGTTAATGCATCAATCGGAATCTAGAACGAAATGTCGCTTTCATTAATTCAATTGGAGCACATGAACTTAATGAGACTTTGATTGGTGCATTAACTTTAATTCGCTTTCGAAAGCGCATTAAATTTAATGCGCTTTTGAAAGTGCAATAAATGCGAATTAAATTTTCCACGAATCAAGTTTCTTAATTCGGTATTAAATTTTCTAGTGGAGACAAGGCCTTAGTATCTGATTTATTTCTAACTCTAAATTGAATTTATTGATTTGATTGGAAATTGACCAATGATTGAAGGAAAGACATTTAAAGTTTAGTTTTACAATAATAGTCAACTTATTTTGTTGAAATTTTATTAAAAAGTCGACATCTATTATAATAAATAATCAACGAATTTATTTATTAGAAATGGAAGAAAAGAAATGATTGAAATTCGTAACCGTATACTGGTATATGTCAACAAGAAGAACAATCATAGAAGAGTTTTTATTACTGATTAACTAAATCGTTTCCATTAATTGATTCTTATTATCTTTTTCATCTCGTTTTTTTTAAATAAGTTTCAATTGATATTATTATTTGACTAAATGAGAAAAATTTTATTCAACCTATATTTTATTTATAGAAATTGAATCTTGAATAAAATAAAAAAAATATCAATCGAATCTTTGAAAATATCCTCACGAAAGAGTTTATTGAAAATAATTGAAATAGAATATTCAATTCTATAATAATAAATAATAAATCTTGTTTAACATTATTTATCTTACATAATAAGATATTAAATCGTTCCCATAAATAAATTCTTTTAACAATGAGACTATTTTAACAATAATCCATATATTCAGTTGTTTAAATGCAAATAAAATACCTATATGAAAATAAAAGAAATACTTTCTAAACAATTCTAATCTAAATCGTTTCATAATTATGATCATCGAATGATAATTAGTAGGTTAAGATTTTATTGAACGTATTTGAGATCAATCAGGATGTCATTCAATTATAATCGACTATTTAATTAATCTAATGATTATTGTTAATTCTAAGCTTGTTTATCGATTTAATAAATAATCTAAATCGAATATTAATATAGAATTGACGATAGAATCTCAACGAGATCGTCTAACATTTATTGAAATAATTCGTTGAGCATCATTGATTAATATCTCGAATAATAAAGTCAAATGTTTTTTTTTCTCAGTGTTCGACAAATGTTTCCTAAAAGTGAACGATAGGAGTCTTGTCTTTTTCCTATTAGGATCAGAATTAATCTTAATGCATTGAAATTGTTTAAGATGAGAATAAAATAATGGTAACGATGTTATCATTAACACGAACTTTTTTTAAAACAAATTCAAATAGATCTGTTAGCTGTGAGTTGGTGTCTGAGAGTTCCACTTCTAAACGTTTTCAATAATAGAAGAGTTTTCTTCTCTTACCATCAATCCTTTTATAAAAAGAGACGAAGATTTTCTTTCTAGGTTCGAACTGTAATGTTCTATAATAGAAGAATATAATTGTCTTTGTCAATAGTTAATAGTCTAATCGTTATATTTTATTAATAATTCTTCTATGACAATTCGAGTTAAAATTTACTTCATATATTTGTTTCATTGATAACAATTAAACTAAATCGAATATAATACAAATCCCATGGTCTACTACACTCGAACACATTCAGATTTTCTTTTCAAAAAAAAAAAAGTTGTGTCAAAATTCGAGCTGTGACAGGTGACAATTCTAATAAATGGTTCTATTTTGAGAAATGGGTTGATTGTCCTTTTTTTTCTGATAAATAGTTCTAGTGACCGCTTTTGTTTTTCAATGTAATTGCTCTATCCAAAATGGTGATCTAGAGATTTTACTGAATGGTTGTGTCCAGTTGTGGAATAAATAAATAGAATTGAATAGTAGATCCAGTTCTTTGGCAAAGACCTGTTGACCATATCGGGTTATTTTTCAAATAACTGATCAACAATTTCAGTTCTTTTATCAGAAACTCTCACAGATACACTCAAAATCAATTGACGACTATTTTCAAAGAAAATTTCTTTTTAGTTTAATCATTATAATCATTTCTATGTCAGTGTTTGACCTCTCAGATTAATTCTGGGATCTCAATATGACAACTGTTCAGTCTGAAAAGGTCTATCTCATTTATAGAATTCGAATAAAAAAAAATTTATATTTTTAAAAAGATCTGTAAGATTGATCGAATCTCCAGTAAAATCTCTCTATTGAAAAGACAAATAAAGGCATTAAAAAACGGGTTGACCATATGTGAGGTATTGACGTATCGAGAGTGAAAGTATGGTGTTGCTGCTAAACAAAGAAAATATTCAATAACAGTCGACTGTCCATATCAGTTCGAGATAAAGGCTTGATTATTCACTCTTTTATTTATGTTTTTATCTAAATAACTCAATTTGAAAAATATTTCAATTAGAAGAGAAAATTAAATTGTTTTTTTGAAAAAAAAATCGTTTATTGTTGTTTTCCATATTGCTTTTGAAATGATTATCTTTCCAGGTTACTTTATAGATCATTGAGAGAGTTGACCATCTAGTTTTTCTGCATTTTAATCTTTTTTTTTTCGTTTCGAACGTTTAAGTCTGATCTTTCTTATTATTATTTAAATATTCGGTTTTATGTTCGAAACTAAGAGTAAAGTATCTAGTGCAAAAAATATGCAAATGAATATCATTGAAAATGTTTTATAGAGATTACAGAAACTTTTCAACGGAAAACATTGAAGAATGATTCCGCAACGTTTTTTTTTGAACTTGTAAAAGATGTCATTTAATCTGACCGGTTTTTTTACTCTTCTAATCCGAGTTTAACAAGGTATGAGTAGTGAAGTCTTGTAGCAGAAAAAAAAAGAAGCCCTTTGGATTTCTATAATGGTTGAAACGAACTCTTTAATGATATAAAATAATGTCTGTATTTGTTCATCACTCTCGATTAGAGTTGGAAAAAACATTCTATTCGAATATATAGATTGTCAACAAATTATATATTCTATATGAAAATCAAAAGTTGGTCAGTTCTCTATCGCACGATATTATTTGAAATAGAACGAGAGATTTTCTGTGTGATATTCAACCAAAGATTTGTTTTCGTATTCGAAATAATAAATTCGAAAAATAAAATTTTGTTAATGAGATACTCTTCTCTTTATTCTCTTCTATGCTAGATCAATTCTTCTAATACTAGATAACAAATATATTCGGATTAAAATATTCTCATCAAAGTTAACGAATCATTTTTCAATGTTTTCCATTGAAAATTTACTCTTTCTAACAAAAAATAAAATCAAATCTCAAAGAGATTCCATTAGAGCGCTACATCAAAAAGAAAATAAACGCAAACCTTTTGCCCCATCCGTTATTTCAATCTATGAATGCGGTGTTAAACCAATAAACTCTTCATTATTATAAATCAATAGTAG